GGTAATAGTTAGAAGAAACTCATGAAAGTGAGTAGACAAGCTTTATGGTTCAAGTTCAACAGATCAATTGTGGCAGCTGCACATGCACATTGTTTATGTTTTCTACTATTATATGATAGTAGATAGTGATGATTTGGCTCCACTTGGATTTTGCCCAGGGATGATTTGTAATGCCACTGATCAATAGTGCGTCATCAGAGAGATGCTGTAACATTACAGAACTCAGCTCATACCCTCTCAGAACTTTTACAGCTAGACTTTTGGACTGCTGTTACATTTATTACTTTAGGCAATAAAATTCAGTTTATCCATAACCATTTATCATTTGCACCTAACCACCTTCTGACATACTTACAGGTGATACCCTGAGCACTTTGAGTGTTTTAATCCCAGAAGTTTCCAATGAATACCAACAAGTAGCTTCTGTGTATGAGTATATTTCTTCTTGTCCTTTTGAACAAGTGATGGGAAGTTTGATTTGTTGAACTGAACTGTTACTTATATTAAGTTTATATAAGGTCCAAATATTGGTAACACTTTATTTGGATAGTCCACTTTAGATGCTCTGTAGATACCTAATTGACTTTCAAGTCACATTCCACTAAATATTTACTAAATAGACCATAATTTTCTTTAACTCTAAACCTGCTCTAATCCTAACCCTAACCTTTACCTCAACCCAAAACCTAAACCCAATCCTCACCCTGGCCCTAATCCTAACCCTCGTCCAAATCTTAACCCTAACCCCACCTCTGTTTAGAATCAACTGAGTTTCAACAGTTAGTTTGTTAACAATTTGAACATCTGTAGATAATCTATATGGGACTGTAGTGGACTATTCAAATAAAGTGAGACCCAAATATTTAACTCATTCTAAAACTTCAACATACAGAGTGTCTGTAAAAGCTTAAAATATCTGTGTTTGAGCCAGACCTTAAATGCTAAGGCTGCTATAACACTGGAAATCCCATAGGGTCGCTAGTGTAAATTAGCTTTACACTAGCAGTAGTAATCGGCTAAACAAAGGCTGTTTTCAGATGAACATAGCAGTAGCTCATCTAGCTAATTAGTTCATCTAAGTGGTTTGCAGGGCTGTTAGAGTGAGATTTCGGTGGGCTATGCTAGGCTAGGCCTGGTAGGGGGCCAGAGGGGGTGTCTGTACACAGTTTTGTTAACAGTTATGAATATTTTTACATAGAAATGAAAAACAAAAGCGTTTTAATTCACTTCCAGTGGCAAGTTGGCAGCCTTGAGTTTGGCAGAGTGGGTGACTTATCTTAAGTCGAACATAATCGAAAACCAGTGGGGTATTTTTTCATCAGAAATATTTGGTCCCGCAACACTGATTGAAGTCCAATTCAGATGGAATGAATTTGTTTGCCGATTTCATCAAAAAGAACCATCTCAAAGGACTGATCCATGGCTCCCTTGTGGTGCAGCTGTATCAGCGTTGGCCCTATTGTCGAGAGAACAATCCCTGGCGAAGCCTCAGCCATTTTATAGCTGGTCTAAGACAGTACAATTGGCCTGGGTCTCTCTGGATGAGTAGGACGATCCTCCCTCTTCACCATCACTCAATGTTAGCTTGCCAATGCAAGTCTTTATTAGCTGATTATTTGCATGTTAACAGAATTAACAGTTAGCATTCTCCTCCAAGCGTGTTGAGCTGTTAAAGGATGTTGCGGCAACGGGGGCTTCACAAGGAATCCTCCCAGCCCGGTAGCATTGTGTGATCGGATGAGATCTAGCTGATGGGTCAAATTAGCCACAACAAATTTGGGGAGAAAACTGAATAATAAGAAAAAGAGGATGATTTGTTCATGACATCACTGCATGACATCACCCTTTGTCCTTTATTTAGCGTTGCGAAAATCAGATTTTTTTTTTAACCCCCATCACTTTACCTCCACAAAATACTATTTGAACTCCCTTTGTTTTAGCAGCCCTGAGTAAATGATACGAGAGTTTAAGCTCATTCAGAGACGTCGGGTGTAGAACTTTTCGTCTCTCTCTTTGAGTATGATCTGACACAATAACAAGCTCCCTACTACCCCAAGGCACTTAGCCAGTTTTACCTCTCTGATATGCTGACCTATTTTTCTCAACCGCCCAATGGGGTGTTTACCAGTTCTGTGCAAACTAGCATCACCTTCAATACCTCACCTTATTTCTCACAAGGCCCACTCAAGAGTTTTGGGTTTCTTATTTCTGAGGCATTTTATCTTCATCTCTTTTACTGTGATTCCCATAGAAACCATGTGTTTCTTACTTCTACCAACTCTGTGCATGAAATAACAAAACAGAGCTCAAATTTCGTCAATATTTCTGAGCATTTAAACTTCCTGAACAACCTATATTTAACCGAAAATTGGGTTTAGGAGTAAACTGGAACCCCTGTTGCCACCTAGTGGCTGGGATGAATGCAAAAAAACATGTTGCAAGAGACAAAACAACGGTTATAATAATGATTATAAACTGATCTGACATATAAGACAATAGTGAATCATTGTGAGATTCCAACAGGCGATATACATGCAGTTATATCAAAGAACAAGCAGCAGTAATCTGAGACAGCGACACTGACAGCATGACCTACAATATGCTTTGAGAAACCGTTAAATATAGACTATATTGGTCACAGTAATGGGTTGGCCCAGTATCACATTGAGCCACTTCTAAAGAGCACAGAAGATAAATTGTGTGGACACAGGCCTCGTCTAGTGATCCAACCAGAAATGTGTTTCCCTACTGTTCTCATTATTTGAAGCCTCCAGTCCCCCGGACCACTTTTCTACATCTGTGTAATCCTGATGTCATACATCATCCTCAGGTACAGTATGGTGTATGGTTATGGTTATACTTTGATCTCTATATATTGATCCCTGGCCGTGAAATTTAGATCCAGTTAATCCATTTTCAACCCCTCAGTGAGTGTGTGTGGGCTGTGCCCATGTATTGAGCACTTTGTAGGGACCGTGGGTTCCCAGAAAGATGGAAATGCATGAAAATGTGTGACACTGTGGGGACCTCTGGCTGGTCCCCTTTTATAGAAGATCCTTTTATAGAAAAACACAAAAATGAGATGCTATAAGATGGTCTTTTGGTTCCTAAGGTTAAGGTGAATTCCACTATTTTTTCAAAATGTCAATAATCGATTGTTGCGATGTAAACTAAGTGGTGACTCAGATTTCTTTACAGTGGTGGTGATAGGAACCAGGGGTCACCATGTCTACAACAAAAATATAACCATTTTATTTACTCTCCAAAACCACCAATGAACCTACACGCCTTATCAGTTTTAGTAGAATAGTGATAAATCGGATATAAACGTGCCTGAATGCATCTTTTTTTTTTACCATGAATGCATTTCAAAAAGTCTCAAAACTATCATAAAACATTGGCTAGGTTTCCATTCAAACTTTTTACAAATGAAGTCGTGTTTCCATCCATTACAGTTATACGAAGAACTTTTAGAAGATGTAGGCCACCATAATTAGGGGCTGCCTTGTCATCATTTATTTGAAAAACACTTTTCCATCACCCTTTTTCACACTATTTTTCATTCTAACTTTTCCACCTCATCCTAGCGCAAAACTCTTTTTGGGGTATTTGGATATGTTTTTGAATTTCTGGCTTTTTGCATTCAGGTTTTGTTTTTTTTTTTTAAAAAGTTGGATGGAAAACATTACTGTCTCAAACATCAGGCAGTGAATTCATAATCATTTCATGTCATAATTTTCTGTGAGGGAGCTTTTAGAGGTGGATGTCTGGTTCCTATCACCATCACTGTGTGCAGCAATTCTGACTCGGCAAGTTTCTCTAGAACAGAGCATTTCACAACAAACCACTCTGAATGACTTTGTTTACATCATGCAGAAATCTGGGAAAATCAGTGGAGCTTTCTGTTTAAATGTAGGGTTTGGTGCAGCACAGCAGCGTTTAGATATAGTAACAGATAAGGCTACAGACATGCACATTAAAGATACACAGAAACTATTCATATGGTGCATTAGGCACCTTCTATAACAGACATTATGACAGAGCAGAGGGAGAGAAAGAGAGAGAGAGACAGAGCATATTGCACCTGCACAGGTGTTTTGATGACATGATCATAAACATTGGTTTGATTGGATATATATTCATACTGAATGGCCTGTATTAACCATATAACTGATTGCTGATCGATACAGTGATGGAAATGGAAGGATCTGTGTGAGGTCTATCAGTAAGACAGATGCAGGGGGCTGAGTGCTGCTCAGCTACATTATAGGTGGAGGAGGAGGGTCTGGTTTAAAGGGGGCTCTAAATCACTGTGCGTATGGTCTTATAGAGGGAGGGAGAGAGAGAGGGAGAGAGAACGTAAGAGAGACAGAGAGAGAGAGAGAGATAGAGAGGGAGGGAAAGAGAGGTAAAGAGAGAGAGAAAGGGAGAGAGAGAGAGAGAGAAAGAGGGAGAGAGAAAAAGAGAGAGAGAACGTAAGAGACAAAGAGAAAGAGAGGAAGACAGACAGAAAGAGAAAGAGACAGAGAGAGAGAGAGAGAGAGAGAAGAGAGGAGAGGAGAGAGAGAGAGAGAGAGAGAGAGAGAGAACGTAAGTTAGACAAAGAGAAAGAGAGGAAGAGAGAGACAAAAAGATAGGGAGGGAAAGAGATAGAGAGAGAGAGAGAGAGAGAGAGAGTGAGAGAGAGACAGAGAGTGAGAGAGAGAGAGAGAGAGAGAGAGAGGGAGAGAGAGCAGCAGAGTCCCACTCCGGAGCTCCGCAGCTTTAACTCACACACACACACGCTCCGCTCGAGAGAGAGAGTGAGTGAGTGAGTGAGAGAGAGAGAGAGAGAGAGAGAGAGAGAGAGAGCGAGCGCGAGCGAGGGGGACGGCAGGAAAAGAATGAGGAAGAACTGGCGCGCGCTGAAGATCGCTGCCCTCTGAAGCGCGGGATTTGCTGAAGAAGCTTTGGCCATCTGATCGCTGCGGGTCAGTCACGGAAAAAAAAAGACCAACCCAAGCGCGAGCGTATATGTGTGTGCGCGCGCGCGTTCGAGCGTGCCCGTGCGTGTGTGTGTGTGCGCGCGTATGGGAACCGAGGAGCGAATCTAACCCTTCCGTCTCGCGCATATAAAGCAAACCCCCCCCACCGCCACCACCTACCCCCTCCTACCCACCACCACCACCACCATCACCACCAAACACCACCACCACCAACAAAACCCACCGAGACGAATGCGAGCTTGGACGCGGCGGCGGACTCCACACTCGCCCTGACCTCTCCTCCCTGCTGCACGAGGTAAAGGTAAGAGCTGCTCGCTTTCTGGACGCCGCAGCCGAGTTACGTTGGTGTTCGGACGGCGGTTTGCTTTGGGACGGGACCCTAGCGTGGTCTGTCGTGGGACCCCCTCTTTCCTCCCCCTCTTTTTTTCCTCCCCTAGCGTTAGACCGGAGGGCTCGGTTTGGCTGCCCGGAGCGAACTAACCACTGCGGCTGATGCTTTATGCGCGATTTGATAGGATATGTGCGCGTGAAACTTGCGGTCGGAACCGAGTCCGTCCGTGCCGATGTGCCGCTGGATGCCCGATTGTGTCCACTGGGATGTTGTAGAGGAGCAGCGTGTCGAGAGATACACCGTGCGTGGTGCACGGACTTAGATGCGCAACAGCAGCTGGTGGAGAACGGTTCTCATAGAGCTAGATGTCGTAGGTGAGCTGAGGTTATGGGATGAAACGAATATGGAGATACGAGCGTGTAGTACGTTCGTTTAAGTTCTAGCAGCGTGCAATTGGGAATGTGGTTCAATGAATGAAATGGCAAGCGGTGAGAACGCGTGCAGGAGACCCTGCTAAAAAAAAAAAGATCATGAAAGAACCTGATGGATCTGCTTTCTAACATAAATTGGCTCAGTGGTTAACATTTAGAGACCACTAGTTTCCTGTAGGACACCTTTAGATCCCCTTAGAAAACCATCAAATGCATTTGGTACCAGTCCTAGAACTGTTAACAGCCTGTTAACCCATTAGAATCCTTTACACTGCGATATCAACCCATCAGGAAAACACAAAAATACCACTAATGACGTCCGAACACCACCGGGAATTAAGAGAAACTTTGAATGGTTTCCATGACTTTTTTCAGCTGGGGACAATATGTGTGATATTTCTGTTGAATTTTTGGGAAACTGTCGGAAATAAATAATTACATATGGGAATAATCTAGGAAAGAAAGTCATGTAAGATGTTTAAAATAACATATTATCTGATATGTATTCCGAATTCTATTAAGTGAGCCATATTCAAACGCCTGTCTGCGCTGCGTCCTGCTTCAGAGGCCACTGGTCACCGTTTGCCTGCAGGCATATACTGGCGGTATTCCCCAAAGCCTGCTCCTATATATCTTCACGCATGCTGCGTTGTGTGCTGGCTCTAATATTACACACAGCGTTGAAAAATGCAGTCGACATCCCTGACATAAATGTTAAGTCATAAAAATTCCATGGCCAACATTTCTGCACAGTCCACCCCGCTATGCATGCAGGGCGAGTCAGCATCAGCCTCTGTAACTCCACATTCTTCTATCTGTAACAGCGCAGCGGTGCTGAACTGTCATTTGTTTACACTACTTTTCTTCCTTTCATTCACTTGTTCATCACCCTGCACTCTTCTCTCCGTCTGCAGGTTCATTTGTCACCCATCGCAGAATGATGAGGCATCCCAAGGTTTCCTCATACCTCTCAATGGGGCTCCAGTATCTGGTGATCGTGGCGATACTGCTCACCAACATCCACCGTGTAATGGCGGAGAATGTGCAAGACCACAGCTCCAACCATAACACTTCTGTCAATAAATCGGATACCTGTGGGGGCTCCACTGAGTGCAAACCTGGCGTTATTCTACCAGTGTGGGAGCCCCAGAACCCCTCGTTTGGGGACAAGGTGGCACGGGCCACGGTCTACTTTGTGGCACTGGTGTACATGTTCCTTGGAGTGTCAATCATCGCTGATCGCTTTATGGCATCGATTGAGGTGATCACCTCGCAGGAGAAAGAGATCACCATTAAGAAACCGAATGGAGAAACAACAACTACCACTGTACGCATTTGGAATGAAACGGTGTCCAACCTTACTCTCATGGCCCTGGGTTCCTCTGCACCAGAAATTCTACTGTCTGTCATTGAAGTGTGCGGACATAACTTCGAAGCCGGCGACCTTGGGCCCGCCACCATTGTCGGCAGTGCCGCCTTCAACATGTTTGTGATTATTGGGCTCTGCGTCTATGTGGTTCCAGATGGGGAGCATCGCAAGGTCAAGCATCTCCGTGTGTTCTTTGTCACCGCCGCCTGGAGCATCTTCGCCTACCTGTGGCTCTACCTGATTCTGGCTGTCATCTCACCAGGTGTTGTCCAGGTTTGGGAAGGCCTCCTCACCCTGTTCTTCTTCCCCATCTGTGTGGTCTTCGCCTGGATAGCTGACCGCCGTCTTCTCTTCTACAAGTACGTCTACAAGCGCTACCGGGCCGGCAGGCAGCGTGGCATGATCATTGAGACTGAGGGTGATCGTCCGCTTCCATCTAAAGTGGACATTGAAATGGACGGGAAGATGCTTAACTCCCATGCTGTTGACTTTCTGGACGGGACCCTGACGCTGGACCTGGATGACAAGGATCTGGACGAGGAGGAGGCCAGGCGGGACATGGCGAAGATCCTGAAGGAGCTGAAACAAAAGCACCCAGACAAAGAAGTTGAGCAGCTGATTGAACTCGCTAACTACCAGGTACTCAGCCAGCAGCAGAAGAGCCGTGCATTTTACCGCTGCCAGGCCACACGGTTAATGACGGGTGCCGGCAACATTCTGAAGAAACACGCGGCGGACCAGGCCCGAAAGGCGGTGAGCATGCATGAGGTGCGCAGTGACACCGGTGAAAACGATCCCATTTCAAAGATCTTCTTCGAACCTGGCTCATACCAGTGCCTGGAAAACTGCGGAACCGTGGCTGTAAATGTGATCAGGCGTGGCGGTGACCTCAACCAGACGGTGTCTGTCGATTTCCGCACTGAAGATGGCACAGCAAACGCCGGCTCGGACTACGAGTTCACTGAGGGCACTGTTGTTTTCAAGCCGAGTGAGACACAAAAGGAGATCCGTGTTGGAATCATTGATGATGACATCTTTGAGGAGGACGAAAACTTTCACATCCACCTCAGCAATGTCCGCGTTCTTCATGAAGGGGCCGAGCCTGACACCACTGAAGCCAATCACGTGGACACCATTGCGAGTCTTGGCGTGCCCTCCACCGCAACCGTCACTATCTTTGACGATGACCATGCTGGAATCTTCACATTTGAAGAGCCTGTGACCCATGTCAGTGAGAGCGTAGGTGCAATGGACGTGAAGGTGCTCCGCACATCTGGAGCTCGCGGTGTTGTTATGGTACCCTACAAGACCGTGGAAGGCTCGGCCAAAGGAGGTGGCGAGGACTTTGAGGACACCCATGGTGTGCTGGAGTTCCAAAATGATGAAATCTTGTAAGTCACCTTTTGATTTGGTTTTGAAAGATAAGTTGATTTTGGTATCTTCATTGACAGAGCATTTATTAAGTGTTTAATCAGTTTCTGGACCCATAGCAGTCGTCTTTTATAAAGTCAGTTTTGCAATGCTCTGTCAGTTAAGAAATCATGTGCATGAATGAACGATGTAAGTGATATCATTGGATTATGCTTGACGGTTGGATGAATGCATGCATGATGGATGCCGAACGTGTGCTTTGTGACATCACGGTGATGTTGCGAAGCCATCGGAAGCATGAAGCCCAACAAAGTGTCGAAGGAGGAGATGTCATCAAAAGTCTTGTGCTGCAGTTCCTCTTTCCAACTCCTATTTTCTTTCATTCTTTCATGTATCTATCCATCTTTCACAACTCTTGTTTTGGCTTAAAGCTTGATCTGTCCTTGTCAGTGTATGTGTCAGTGGTATATTACTGTTGCAAGGTTTTGGTTCATAGAGGTTTTCTTTTCTCTGCTGGTTTCTGGCTGATGTTAGATGTGTGGCTATGATGTAATGACTTTCAGTACATCAGGGGTGTTTTTGACTATTCTTGGTAACCACAGTTAACACTCTGATCCACCACTACTCTTCCTGAGGAAGGATGATGTAGCTCTCTGAGGTAAAAAAAATGCATCCTGGCATTGATAGCATGGTCCAAACTTGTGGACCACATGTGTACTTATGATGGGTCGTTAAGCGTGTGATTGATGGCATCTGGGTTTAAACCTGCCCCTGATTACGCTGCTGACAGGTTTAGCTGAACAGATTGTTGTTCCCTGCACGTAACAGCTTAAGCTAGTTTAGTGACTTGACATTCATCTGTCCATGTGATTACATCTGTGCCTGTTTGTGCTGCTTCCTCACAAGACAAGCAGTTGTGAGACCTTAGCATAATTTAGCTAAAACCTCAAAGCTATCTGGCACGTTCCTGTTGCACCAGAGGACAGGGGTTGTTTAAACAGCGCATATCTCTCTCTGTCCACACAGCATAAGCAGTCACAACACAGAAACATCCTTGCTCGCTATCTCTCTCCCTTTGCTGTCTATCTCTCTCTCCCTTTCTGTCCCCCCCCCCATTTCTCAGGGTGTGTAAGACAAGTGAAGTGATTGAGTGAACGTGGGCCGTGTGTTTTAAACAGATTCGAAGCAGATGTGGAGGGTCAGACTTTCCGGGGCCTGTTGGCCTACTGCATACTTTCCATCGTGCAGTGCTGCGAGCGCCGTTAAGTGGATTTTAATAACACTCCTTTAATGAAATGATGGAGGGACAGAGGGATGGAGGGATGTTGGGGAGGAGCGCACTGCATTGTAACGGGGAGGACAAAAGGGCTCTCTCACTTTTTTTTTTTTATGTTATGCCGGAGCTCCGCATTCTAGAACTCTGCAGGAATGTCTGGATTTTTCTTTCGGATCTTAAGCAATTCCAGAACATATAATTAGAACGTTATCTCAGCGTTCTGGAATATGAATTTGGAGCGCAGGCGGTACGCGACATAACCTCCTATTACATGAACGCATTTCACCAGTCCAGACTTTTGGACCTTTAACCATGTATTATATGAAATACCCTCAGGCCTGCTAAAGCGCTCATGATTTCTATGTATTTATTTATTTATTTATTGACTGACAGTCTTCAGCACTTGTATGTAGTTTGACGAGTGGAGAATTGTAGCTTTAGCGGTTTCCTTTGGAAGCCTGTAGTGCTGTTCAACATCATAGATGTGGCAGTTTGGATAAAACAAGTGCACATTCCGTCTACTTGAGTTTTTCCACTGAGGACAATTTTAGACACAGTTGTTTCGTGCTAAGCCGAATTGTTACCGAATATGTATACTGATTTGTATGGGAAAAATGATTGAATTGCAAGGCCATCTGTACAAAACTGATGTGATCCAGGATTAGTTTTTCCCTTATTAAATGCATTGATATGGGTAGGACTGGAGCCCTTATACGTCTATATCAACATAGGCCCCCTGTATAGGTGTCTAATCCATATGTGTCTGCTTTAGGATCATATACCATTCATATTATATCAATTGTTAATAGTTATTGCTATATTGGACTGAATTACATTTTGCTGTATTGTTCTTTGTAATACTGAATATGCAAATGAGCCTTTAATGAATCGTATTATCTAATAATATCTAAGGTAAATTAATTTGATAAAAATAATTCAGGCCAGTAGGGCTGGGATCACTTATCAGTTTATCGATAATTATTGATAAATGGCATGATATTGATTGGTAGAATATATCTTTTTTTTCTTATCTGTAACTTTTTTCCCCCGGAGGTTCACATGTAACATTTGTGTCGTTTTATGCACCAAAGCAGTCATAATTTATTTTCCAACCTCTCTTTCTTCCTGAAAATTAAACAGGCTGTTTTTGTTACTGTTCCATTAAGACTGATGTATGTGAATGAGCTCTGTTCTGATTGGCTGCCCTGTATTGTGCCTCATTCAAAAAGCAGTCTGGGCTGAAACACTGCTTATAACTTTAGCGCGAATGGGCGGGGCTAAATAGCTGTAAGCTGAATAGGTGGACACGTGTTGGTTTTCATGACATCACACAAACAATGAGTTCAGAACAGGCTGTTTTTACAGTTTAGTTTACATATATGAACCATGTGAACGATGTTTACATACTACATCAAAAACTGGGTAAATTCAGTTTTCTATTATAAGGGCCCATTTAGGCTTTTGTTGCCCACTGTGGTCCAAATGGAAGCTGCCCTAGACATACAGAATGTTGTCATAAAAATAAAAGTCAATTTTTTGCTATTTTTATTTTTCTGCATCATTTGAATACAGCTGCTGTCCTTTACATTGTTTCAAAATTTCGTGATGAATGGACCGATTGACGTGGCTCTGAATTGCATGGATAAAATCTCATTACATTAAAGGTAAATAATGTTTTTGCCTTTTGCAAAGGCACAATTTTAGAGATACTTATCTTTTTGTAACTGATATGTAACTGTAACGTTTAAAATAATGAAAGTAATGATATTTATTGATAATTGTCACAATTTATTAACTTTTCATCTGTATCATTCCAGCCATAAAGATAGACCCTTTTGGGTGCTATATAGAACCATTTGTGGCACATTTTCCATCAGTCTGAAGAACCCGTTCATGATGCAAAGAACCCTTTAATCATTCAAAGGGTTCTTTGAATGTTTAGGGTTCTATATAGAGCCATGTACTAAAGAACCCTTGAAGCACCATCTTTTTAAAGAGTGTACAGGCCGGTCTTTAACCTTGTCATGTTATTGATCAACCAGTGTGTTTTTAGGCATATCGCCTTTACAGTATATTGCAATATAATCACAGTATTATGATTCTGTCCATATCATGCAGTCCTGTCTCACATCTGACTAAATTTGAAATATCTAGATCCCAGATTATCATGCCCGGCCTCCTTTGAGATGTGTGATAAACGCAGGCCCTCAGCTTCGCTTATTCGACTACAAGGCCTGATCTGGGATCAGTTTAACCTTTCATATCCTACTAAATACAGTTATACCACTTAACAGAACCTGATCCCACATCAGGCCGTTCCCTCTGGAGAGGTTCGCTCGAAAATGGAGTTGCGCCGCTACGCCCTTGAACACATCCCAGATGCAGGGAGGACGGATTGCTCCGGAAAAAAGGAAAGCAGGAGAAAGAGGAGAAAAAAGGAAAAAGGGAATGAGAAAATAGATGATCTACATTGCATTGCCAGAGGCCACCTCCACCCTAATTTCAGCGCTTCGCTCACTTTGTCACAGTAAAGTGAGGAAAAGTTTCTTGGCTACCCTCGCACTTTGTTCTCATCCACCGTGCAATTTCTTCTCCGCAGTCCGCCCTGACTTGGTCACCGGCCGGCTACCAAGAGAGGCTGGCAGTGATTGATGAGCGTGTTTGTGTGTTTGCTTACATCTCTGTTCATTAGTTTGTGCGGGCCGCTTGATGGATGTTTACGAGCAAAAGTCAAACTTTGTGGAAGACAGTCCTTTATGAGCCACAGCACGTACTGCCCCTTATTACGATGTATATTAACTCACGAGAAAGTGTAGCACACCATTAGCCGATGCTATATGCACTGCTGCGGCACTAGAACCTTCAGTGTGTACACACTGTGCCAAGTCACACGCATAATCAGCTTAAATGACCTTGTAATTTGGGTTGTGTTCATGAAAATGTCAAGCTGGCGGGTGGCAAGAATGAAGATGTTTTCGCATCTATTTGTCATTTGTATGTGCATTTGTGGGTGGTATTAGGGAGCTAATATGAACATTTTGTGGCTGTTAGTGATACTGATTTTAGGGGAATAAAAAAAGACAATAATATAATATATATTATACACACACACAAACACGTTCATACAGAGGGAAACAAAAGCCTGAAAGTGTTCGCTGTAGTATGTAAACATTATTCATACAGTTAAATATATGGAATATATAAATAATATGGGACACTGCCTGTTTTATTTCATGTATATATAAACTACACAGCAAAAAAGGCACTGAATATTTGAATGTTAAAAAATCATTTTAAATAAAAACAAACATCACAACTACATCAGCTGCAGAAAACCGTTAAACCTCTTTAAATGTCCCCAGTGTACAGTATGTTTTATTATACTGCCCATTCGCTTGAATTGGACACCTGTTATCTTATTCTTTCTTTTTTTGGGGGGGTGCTGTCCCATAGATCGTTGTTGGGGAGGAGGTGGGAGCACACATTACGTTGCAGTGCATGCTTGGAACTGTAGTGATAGTGATATGGGCTAATATTAATAGAAAATTACAATAATTTTGTGTGCCGAATAGGATCGTGCTGCGGGCCTTGTGTCTGACACAGGGGCTGAAGAGGATTTGTTAACATATTTTTAATTTAGAAAATCAATAAAACATGTTTTTGACCAGGGGTGTTCAAACATACGACTGTTTACAGTATGTTGTCATTGTTATATTTTGTTTCATTATTTTTTTTACACCTTTT